CTGTGGGCACAAGTTCATAATAAACTACAGTGCAACTCCTGGGGCAGAGGGAGCGGGAAGAAGTTACAATTTTCTGTACTTGTTCTTCTTAGTTATATGTCTGGAAGATGCAAACTGGCCAAGAAATGATTGTGTTTTACTTTGTGGTTCTATACCCACTTCTGAGCCACTCCCCTAATAATGCAAACTATGGTGAAATAGATCATGTATTGCTGGAGAGGCGCATGCAAGGAATCTGCCACTGGAAAAGGAAGTCTGTGAAAGTGCAATGCTGTGGTAGCATCAGAATGCAGACAAAAATCACCTGTACAGCAGTGGAGAATGCTGCAGAGATCCATCTCTAACACCCTGTCTCACAAGATGGAGTGGTTCCTTCCTGACTTAATGACAAGAAACATGCACACTGTGCTTTTCGTTGATCACTTACATTCCACTGATTTCCTCCTTTCTGCTTGTGGGGAAAAAGAATTTTTTTTGAGGTGGGGTGCCCTACTGGCTTTTATAAAGGACTTTGAAGACTGTTCAGAAAGACTGAACCAGTAAAATGGATTCTTTTCCCCTCACATTGTTCTTTTAAATCACTGTATTTCTTAAGGGTGTGGGTACGTGGAGGGGGTGTTCTGTTTTTCAATTACCTTTCACTGGACAGTATAAAGAAAAACCTGCTCTCCATTAGTTCAGGGACTAGATAACTGTTGGGATGTCAACATGTACAACTGCATAATGAGAAATTGGTTCTTGTGAAGTGGTCTTACATTAAATGCTAGCAGAATGCAATGTGGAGTGGATATCCTTGTACTTAAAGCGTGGACTTGGAACAAGACGTGGGGTTCAGATTTGCAGCCTGCAGCAGGCACTGTGAATGCTCATGTGAAGGTTGCACACCTTGAAAACTGAGCGGGCTGTGTCTGTGCAGGGGGATGTCTGAGTAGTAGAGGCAAGGGAGAGGGTGAGTTAAAAGCATTCATTTCTTTCACCCTTTATTTTCTGCAGATTCACTAGGACAGGCATAGCACAGTGAGACCATACTTAACCCACCCACCGGACTGCATCTTAGAGTCAGATTTCTGTTAGTGCTATCAGACTCCACATCGCAGAACCAGAAAAAGTGGACTCCACAGAATCATTTGAGCCTTGAAATTTTATTATCTTGTTTGCATCAACCAGTTATTCCTTTCAGCACCAATAAAAGACAAAACCCCCTCCCTATTGTTCAAAATACCTTGTTTTAATCAGGTCTGAGATTGTGGTTTTCTTGCAGGCAAAGAAACCAATGAAAATATTTAAATTTTTATTTTTTTAATACATTTATAACAAAATGTCAGAAGGTGTGTGCTTACCATATAAAAACATTAGGTTCCAGAAGGATACAATACCGAAAAATCATTGAAATAAAAAAGGTTATTCTTACAGGATTTCTAAACCTCAGCAATAATACAAGTCTTTAAAAGCATCAAGATTATATTTAAAACAAGACTGCATGGAAAAATGAGATCTTCAGTAACAATTTAACCCTCATTGTAATGGATGATAAAATTGGGAGTTATTCAAAGTGCTTGAATGGTATTTCGGTTCTCATCCTACAGTGCCAGGAGGAGGTAAAAATGCTTCATTTCTGAGATGATGATATGTGCTGACACTGATGTGCTGCTGTGTGAGCCCAGGGTAGCTCAGAGACCAAACTAGGGACAGTGAGATCTGCTTCATCTGGACCACCAAACAAAGGCCATTTAAAAACAATAAAAATCCTCTTTATTGGAATTGTAAGTTCTTTAAATCTTACTGTCTTACCCAACAAGTAGGACCAAGAGTCTAGCTAGACTAGCTGAGAGCGCTTCTGGGACAAAACCTCATCACAGTATGAGCACAAGATAGGTAAACTTGTTGTACCAGACAGCTTTCTCAAGGGTTCCTCTACAGCAGGCCACACCTCGGCAGGCTGCAGGCTTCTCTTAGAACCAGTGTGTGGTACAGTTTGTTTGGTTGCTTTAGACAGCTTCTATTAAGCATCCAGTTTGTGATGGAATAAACCTAGCTGGCCACCACTTGAATTAGTTATCATAAGCACTTTTGCACGTAGCACTAAGCTGCACACAAGGTGTTGCTACCCTGGTCCTCAGTGGCTGAGCTGTGGTGCACAGCAGGTGGATCATGTATCCCACAGACCCTCAGACAAACAGTGCACAGATTAACTGGATCTGAATGTGCCCAAGAGGCTACGTACTGCTTTTCTGTAGGCTGTGTTTTTTGAAGTGATCTAAAGGTACCAAATTTGTAACGACCTGACATCCTTGAAACTTCTGGAAGTTCTTAGTTTTTGGTGTCCTCATTTGTGTCTTTTCTTCCCTTGTTCTAGAAGTGCTGTTGTAAAATGCAAATTGAATATGCGAAACAGAAGATGTTATCTAGCTTTTATAAAAACAGATGACACTTCATCTACAGTGTCCCTGTTGAGTAGCACTTATTAAACCAAGAATAGCGTTATCACCCACTTCTTGAAGATACCTGAAATTCCTGTACAAAGTGGGGTAAGCATAGCAGAGTAAGCTTAACTCAAAATTCTTATAAATAACATCCTACTAATAAATTGGGTCATGCTATCCTTAAGCAAAGTGGGATTGACGTCTGAAAATGCGAGGCAGGGTTTGATTTCTTGGGCATGTTCTGCCCCCCTCCCCCTTTTTTTTTTTTTTTTTTTTTTTTTTTGTAAATGCAGGTACTCTATTACATATTATCTGTCTAAGGCTTATAATGATTGATATCCTGCCAGTATCTCTGTGAGACAGTACATGGAACTGTGGTAGCAATGGTGTAGACAAAGCTCATTTTTCTCCAGGATGGTTATTCTTCTGGAAAGGAAAGCCTGTTGGTTGTGGTTTACTGGTACATACGCTCTCTGACTCCTGCAGGCGTACCAAGGCATCAGAAGGCACAGGATCAATGCAAAAAAGCAAGGAGCATCTGTACAGTGGTGCCACAATGCTGTACTCTCTTGCAAAGTTAGATCTTTAAGACAGTAAATTAGTAAGAACTACCTAGACTGATTAAATGTATGCGTATTGTTTAAAGAGAACATTTTACAACTATCCATTTCTTGATCACTGAGAAACTAAGAACATCAAAATCTAAAACCATTTACTTCAAATTTGAAAAAATATTTCTCAACATATCTCAAAAAGTTGACAAAAGTGCCTGGTTTTGAGTCAGCACAAAGCCACAGAACGAATTTAAAAGTAATTTAGACCATGTTAGTTTTACTGTAAATGTAACATTGTTTGGCAGTAGTTTTATGATTATATCCCACACAGTGTCAAATTCAGTTCCTGCAACTGATACTCAGTGAAGTTGATATCAAATTGTAACTTACATTGTTAGGAAAGCTATTAAAAATACTGTACCCTATATTTAATCTTACTACTGAGAAATAGCTGCTGGGCAGCACACAAATTGCTACTGTGATACTGTTTGGTTTTTTTAAAAAGGTTAGTAAAATACAAGCAAGGTAGAAAATAGGATTAAAAGCATTATTTCAGGTACAAGTCTTTCTGCATTGGGTGGAGAGATAAGAAACCAGAAAAACACATTGCACATACGTGCACCCTCTGTATAAAGAGAAACATACAAAGTGGGAAACTGGTGGTGCACTGGGATAGTACACTAAAGTCTCTGATGCTGTAAACTTGAATTCCTAATTTTATCAAAAAGGGGAATTGAGTCTGGTTCCATTGTTGAGTCCCCATGGGTGACACTTGCGGACTAGCCCATGGTTTGGCACAGTACACTTTTAAGAGGCAGTCTCTGCTGAAGGGACACCAGGACTGAAAAACGAGGCATAAAATGTGTCAAGACCAGGTGCAGTGGGAGAGCATGAGAAGTGGCCTACTACCTACTTGGAATTACCCAATACTGTTAGTCCAGTACTTTTATGAGTTTCTCTACTTCCAAAAGCAGGCTGATCTAAGTAAAAGTTCTGTTTACTGTAGATAATTAAGCCAGTACCAGAGGCTGTGCAGACTGGGGTTTCTAATTTAAATCTATTCTGATTTAGCTCAAGCTGATTCCTAGCAGGTGTAAACTAAACCAAACCAAGAGCATCTTCAGGAGTTTGTGGCCAGCATAACTAAAACAGTTTACTTAATGGAGTAAGTATAGGTATTAGATTAACACTTCTCTTCTCAACACAGGGAATTTGTAATGTAAGAGGAAATAACACTAAAATTGAACAGGAAGTAGGCAGAAGAAACTAAGCATCGGTTAAAACACAAGGGGTCTCATTGTTCTCCCAACAACACAAACCCTTCTGAATTTAAATCCCTAAAAAATGCCAAGTCTCATTAGGGACCTGATTCTCAGCTTTTCATTATTTTTGTTAAGGTTACAGAGGCTGGGTAGGTCAGGTCACGGGGATAAGATGGCAGAGGGGAGCCCCAAATTTAGAGCTGCAGTGGAAAGAATATAGGCGTTGGATGGTAAGACCCCTGTTACAGTCTGCGAGTGCAAAACGGAGAATTGTCTTGCAGACATAGAGTCTCAGGTCTATTCTCTAGTAGTTAGCCACGCTACACTTTCCCTTTAAGTATACTGATTCCTTTGGAAAATTGTTAGGTTATCCTGCCTTATCAGTCATACACTGTTCTACGCTTTTTCTCCCAAAATGTCACTTACATTTATTTAAACTCTATATCCAGCATGCATTTTACAAGCTATTTCCCACTTACTGTCTCTAGCTAAGGCAGAATGTTGGCTCTGGTGTTACCAATGGTACTACAGGAATCTATTCACTCTACTGTAACATACATATCATCCCATACCATAATTCAGAACTGCCCCGCGTATGGGAAAGAAAGAAAAGACATTACAGGGGAACTCTGTTTCTTCTTAAGGGAATAAGTTGCCCTCAGAAAGCTAAAGGCCTGATTCTGGAGTCATTATTCAGACAAAACACTTCATAATTTCGGTTGGAAACACAGTTGGATTAAAGGTAGAACTGTGTTCTTAAGGTCTTAATTCCAAATCTTTTAAGTTTCCTTAAATCGGACAGGAAGATATTAGTCTGCAAATTGAATAGTTTTTGTTTGTTTGTTTTAAGGTCTATCTGTAATGACAGAAGGGTTTCCCAGTCCCAGAATGCCTTGCTTTGGCTGGTATCTGATTTTTGAACTCACTTCCATTCTGATATTCCCCATGGTATCTTACTGACTATTTTATCTCAGAGTGGCATGCAGTGCGGGCGCATGCTACTGATGCAAGCACGCTACTACAACTTTTAACAGGCTAAAAAATGAAAAAAAGCTTTAGCTTCTTAAGTTATACAAAGAAATGATGCAAAAACCATTGAGCAGCACTAACTCACAGACTAATTACAAACTAAATTGTGCTATATATTAGTATAAAAACATGTTTTAGTAAGAATGGCACTGGTTCAGAAGGAATTAGGACTTCCATCTTGGTTCCGTTCGGTCCACAGTGAAAGCATTGTAGTACAGGCCTGCCCTGTTGCCTGAGCAACTCGTGACAGTGGCTTTTGGCCACAACCCTTTCCGTTTCTTCCCTTTGTATATCCACCATTGTTGGTACATTCTGGGAGTAGCCCGGGTCAGGTCTGGTCATCTTTCCTAACGTGGCACCAGAATAGTTCGTTCTTATCCTCTGATATTTTCTTAATATCGTTAACATTTCCCTCTTCTAATCTCTCAAAGCTGGTCAGTTTTAAGGGTCATCTTCTCCTGTAGACACCATGAGACGCATTGCTACTGGTAGGTGGTCTGTCAAGCCTGCCAACTGGGTAATAAAGCTGAACTCTTCGACTTCCTGCAGAAGGAAAACAGAAGTAAGAAAGAAGGAATTGGAAAACTGATCTGTTACACCACACACCAGGACTCAGCTTTTATGCGTCTCTTTAGTTTACTTTGAACTACCTACTGTATTAGTACATGTATGTACTAATAGTACATGTATGTACTAATAGGTTAGAAAAGAAAAATGGATTTCAGATCCAGGTTCAGTAATGTGAGGGAAGCAACATGTGTGTATCCCACATCTAATGTCATCCTTCCTTAGAGATTTATGTTGGATTTATGATTCTATCCTGGTCTAGTGGGAGGTGTCCCTGACTATTGGCAGGGAGTTGGAACTCGATGATCTTTAAGGTCCTTTCCAACCTAAACCATTCTATGATTCTATGTATGGACCAGCTTGGCTGGGCTAATGGTGAACTATCTGCTGCAGAGGGCATGTCAATGTGGTGCAGTTGATGGGGGGAAGCATTTATACAGTATACGGTTGAACTAGTCTGGATGAAATCTGATGTACCTTTTCTTTCCGTTTACAGTAGCATTTGTGTTGTTCCAGATGGACTTATCTGTAGTGCTGCAGTAGGCAGCCTGGGAGGAGGGGCTGGCCGTACGGCCCTAGGTATGGCATGCAGCTAAAAAGGAAGCCTTTCTTGATTAGATCGAGGTGTTAAGCTTTGTGGGACCTTAAGGCAACCAGGAACTCAGCTCCTCGCAGCTCCTTGGTCTCTGAATTCCAGCCATTGTTCTGGCAACATTTTGTAGGACCAAATTACAGTTCTTTGGAAATACTGCCTGTTTCCCAGCTTTTGAAAGCAGGATGGAGCAACCTTAAGGCTCACTCAAAACAATGTAGTTTTTCCTTCCTATGGGCCAGGTACTCAGAGCAGCTTATCTACCAGTGTTGCTACCAGAATCCCTAAACTCACCTTAAATTTGTTTATGTAACAGTCTTACAAACTGGGTACTCACAAGCAGAAGTAGAAAATAGCAAAGAAGCAGGTTCTCCCTTGGAGTATGAATTTGACCCCAAGCAGAACAGGCTGTAGTGCCATCCAGAGAAGTTTGTTGTGTGAATTATGGTTCTTTTTTGTCAGCTCTGAAACTCACCACTTTCCATTCCAGGTAGAGACCTTCTTCTGTGTAGAGCATGTAGTCAATCCTCCTCCCGTTTCCTTTCAGCGATGCCTTCCTCCCCTTTTGACTGGAACTGTGGTTCTTGCTGGTGGGATAGACTAAGTATCCTTTCCTTCCTTCTTCACTTTCCAGCACTCTATTTCATTAAAAAACAAAACAAGTGCTTTAAATGTTTGCTCATTCTGTCTCTTTGTGCATTAGGCTAGATTCTCTCCCAGTCCCCCATAAGGGTAATGCCTGTCCAAAAGGACTGTTAAACTGTAAAGTGCATTTTCTTCCAAATGTGTTTTCCAATATGAGGCTGTACTAACAGCTGACAGTGCTCTTAAAGCCTCATGGCGGGTTTGGAATTGCTGGTGCTATACTGGTGGACCTACCCTTGTAGTAGGAGAACAAACATCAGAGAGAAGGACCCTGCCTGCCTGCTATCTGTTGGACATTGCAGCCCACAGCCCCTCCACTGATTTCCAGCGTTGCCAAATCTAGCAGAGGTGGAAACTTTCATGGATTCCTTTAGAAGAAAGCCGAGTACTTTGATACAAACCTCTCCATTCTGATCAGAGCAACTCCTTCTGAAATTAAGACAACCACCTTTACAGACAGGGTACGGATGAGGAATGGTTTTCAGGAGCACACATTTGGGCATGCGGTAGCTGGTTTTGAGCAAGCCTCAGGATCAGACTACTGTGTCTCGGACCCCAAGCTCTTACTTCACTGGTAATGACAACCTCATTTATTTGATTTGTGTATGTGACACTCTTCAAACTCCTCTATAGAGATGGACTGACTTAGCAGGTATGTTAGGACTGCCCCCATCTTGCATGGAGATTACCCAGCCCAAGATCATATACAGAAGCAATCAAAATTAAGAATTGGTTTTCTAGGTACCAGCCTTGTGTTCAGGCAACTAAGCTGCAGCTCTTCCACTAAAATTTTTAGTTTGGGTGCTTAAACCTTAACAGTAGGTTTTATATAGAAGTCTATTAAGGCCCCAAGCAACTTGATCTAACTTTGAAGTTAGCCCTGCTTTCAAAGTGACCTTGGACCAGATAACCCCCAAAAGTCCCTGTCGCTACTTTTACAGTAATTCTGTGTTGTTTTGCTCTTGTATTGTATTGAAAAGGAAACTTGGTTTGCCTTCTTGTATTCTGTTTAAAAGATCTTCCAAAGGAGCGCCGAAGGCAACAGACACAACTGTGCATACAAAAGCAGGGGCTGCGTGTGATATCCTGCAGACAGTGAGTATTGAGTACGGTCGCAGCAGTTGTGCCTGTTAACTATGCATGCAGAGAGGGGCAGATTAGGTTGTGGTTTTGCTATCCGGCTCAAAACACAAACAAACTACTTTCAAAACCACCTCCTTGAAGATCATTTTCCTTTACTTACCTGCCAAAACCTGAGCTCAAGGTTCTGTGGTTTCCCTTGTAAGAGTTGATTACGCCATTAAGCAACATCATCAACTGTCGCAGGAGAAACACTGAGCCATGAACTTGGGTCCTAGCAGGTACAAAGCCTTTAATTTCACCTTGGAAAAAAATAAGATATTTTTGATCACCCAGTTTTTAGACTTGACTTTGGATGGGTTTTATGGGGTTGGGTTTAGGAATTTTTTAATGCATGCATGTGAGAGTACAGAATGAAGGAAAAACAAGAGACAAACGCCAGACTCTTGCGATGTGTTTCAATGTTTGAGATTCAAATGTTTTCTTTGTCAAATTTTGTCTCTTTGGAAGGACGTGAATGGTGGCAGCGGGAACACAGCACTTGCTACAGTTGATTAGGTCTCAGTAGTGTTATAATCTATAAGTTTGGGTCAGTTGATACACACCAGAAGTACTCTTATGTGCCTTCAAAAGATAACAGTGATAAAATTCTGGTCATATAGTTATTTAATCAGAACTTTTCTTAACCTCCTTTGGACTTAGTGAAGTATTGAAGGTTCTTATTGAGTTTACTGTAACCAGTTTATGAAAGTAAGCTTCCTTTTATGTAGTATTCAGTTTTAGACTATCTAATAACTTGCGTTAAATTAGCTTACTATCTGCACCCCATTTGCAAGCTGATTCTACAAAGAGCTACTGCCTGAAATTCTTTTTCTAGGTTCAAGAAAGCAAGCTCTTTGATGGGACTGACCTCTTTCAGAAATTGTATTTATATTTGGCAAAGCTAATTAAGTAACAAAGTAGAAGAAACTGCTGATTAGCGCTGCAGTACTACTGCAAAAAAAAATATCTTATTTGCATTAATTTAAAAGATGAATTTGTTTTAGCTTCAATTATGTCCTTTTAAAAGTCTGTGAGCATGGGGTATTCACTTAACCTGCACAACTGCTCACAGAAGGGAAATGTTAATTTCAAATACATGAGGAAAATGGATTGTAAATGTGCATGCATCTGCTACTGACTAAAACTTGTACCGCTCTATGCAATGGTTTGCTGTTTGTCTCTACAGGAAGTAGAGGCAAGTACTGGACATCTGGCTATGCTGTGCTAACAGTTAATTAGTTACATTCACTTAAATTGTTAACATTTATGACTGAGTTGCACAACTAAACTTGAGCTTTGTCTGAATAATTGTCTTAATTCATAGCACACAAAGAAAGGGAGGATAAAAAGTAATCGGAACTTTACTTTTTTCCTTGCAAGATTTCAGTTCCAAATAACTCCAGAGTTTAAGTATGAAAATTATGTCACGCAGCTCTCTGGCTGATCGCTGGTCTGCAGTGCTGACCATAGCTGCAGTGAACAAAAGAACATGAAGAGCAGGCTATGTAAGGGAGCCATAAAGCAACCTTACTCCTGCCTCATAAAGCTCAAGGGACCATCTCTTACTTAGGCGAGAAGCACCCAAGTCAAGGAAGGCTTTTCTCACTGGTGTTGCAGCCTGTTGCCCAGAACTGTGAGCCACAGTCCAGCAGTGAAGACTGGAAAAATTAGCATTTAAATCTTGTTTCTTAGCTGTGCTGTAATCTGCTCTCCTGAGCCAGATTCTATTCAGGGGTTAGAGATGAAAATGGGCTTATTCCAGTGCTTTGCTTGAAGGTGACAATCATCTTTGTGAAATGAGATTATTTGTGTGCATTTCGTGAAGCCTTTCTGAGCAGAAGCTCATGTAGCTTCCAGTGCTGTGGCAGGGCCCAGATCGCTACATCTAGCTTACTAATTGTTCTATAATTATAAATGTCTTGCTCATTATTTGTACCAAGTATGTTCTAGTCTGATGTTTTACGTATGCTGTACTTAACATGAAAGAGATATTTAAGAACTAGTTGTTCTGCTGCTTTTATGGCCTAATTAGTTCAGTAATGCGAACTACTTAATTTTATTTATAAACTAGAGAAGAGTGCTGATGAAGAAATAATTCCCTGGATAGCTTACGTTGCCAATTTGAATGTCTGTTTTAAATGTCTGTAAAGCTTGATCAAGGCTTATTGCTGAAAAATTTGAGACCAAATCCATTTTAGGCTGTAGCCTGTTTTGCTGTGTACATAAATGATACTTGTTAGCTAGACAGTGCTGCACAGCTTCTGTGCTATTTAACATTTAAATGTCCTCAGAGCACAGATTCCACTAATGGCTTTAAATTCTACTGAACTTACTGGCAACTTTTATGTTTACTGGTCCCTTGCAGAGATGGGAGGGCAGGCTCTCTTGGCCTCTCATGAAGTGAAGGTTTCTGTAATATATAAGCATATCTACATAATGTACACATGCAGATGTGCATAAAAAGACAGTGGAAATTCTCGTCTAATAGAGGGGCATTTCATCAGTTTAAGAGAATTTTAGCGTATTGCAGAAAACTGAAAGCCATTTTTTAGTAAGCAAAATGTCTTGCATATATTCTGTTATCACCACTTAAGAATATTTTCCAGTTATCTCATACTGAGCTGCTGTACCTACACACAGGTAGCAGAAGTAATACTTTTAAATATTTATTGATCATTTGATGGCTCCCTATCTATCAGTCATGTATTTGTCAGTGGAATTTCATTGCTGAATACACGTAACTCTTCAGGGAACAAAACAAAATAGCCCAAAAGTAATTTGATGACAGATTGTCTCAAAAGGCTGCTTGAAAACACAGGGGATTTTTTTTGTTTGTTTTTGTTTTTTTACTTTCATTTTTTTTTAAAGAGCTCCAAGCCTGCTTTTGGAACCATAAAATAGAATGTTATACCCATATACAGATTTGTATTTGCAAACTTGATTATAGGGCCAAATTACCTTACTTTTGCTTTCCAGAAATCCCTTTCCCATGTACCAAGTTCATGTTTTCAACACATGAATAGAAATGCCTGGAAATTTTGCAGGGTCTTGAATGTGCAATGCATGACTTGCTGTAACAAATCCTTATTTTGAGTATAAACTAAACCCAGACCTTAAGTCTAGAATTGAATTTCTTTGTCAAAACTGACAGAAGACTACAAGAGGTAGCCTCACCTAATACATTCAGTGAAGCGTCCAACTATACCATGCAGTGTACTGTACTGAAAAAGTAAAAATGCCAACATAAACTGTGCCTACATAATGTACCATTTCCATTATGCATGTTAACTGAAGCATCTGCACACTCATTAATTCAAATAACTTCACCTGTTTGGTGTATTTGGGTAATGAACAGCTAGAACATGTTTCATAGTTAGTCATGATAATAACATATTTAATCCATTAAACTAGCCTTCAAGCTACAGCAGGTGCAAAAAGGATTATCACGTTCTTTAAGTGCTGCTCTAAAGTCTACAAAGCTTAGTAATTTCTCTCCGCTGGCATATTATTTAACAAACAGTACAGGTATTCAAGAAATTTATGTTAAGACTTCTGCAAATCAAGGTTTTTTTGTATTTCTCTTAAATCCACTAGCTCAAAACAAAGATACGTGTTTCTTAATATCAAGCACTCCTTAAAAGTAATGCTACACTACTGTCACTGATATTAAGCCTTATTCCTAGTTATCTCTGATGTGCTATTTAATTCCTCTCTATATTTGTGAGCTTGCTTTTTTAGGTGTATCGAATTCTGCAAGCTTTCTAGAATGGGTAATAAGTTGTTGGGTTGGGGTATGTTTTTTTTTATTTAAGGAAAACTACATTTCCTTTTGTTGCTGTCCTTTACAGTGCCATGACTACGGACCTGGCTGCCTGCAGAAAGACTTTCAGACAAGCTGTCCACGTACCCTTTCCAGTAGTGCTCGCAGTTTCTTGTCCTATGGGCCTGTCCAGGTAGGACCAACTCTAGAGACATGAAAACACTGACTGCAGTTGCCTTCATCTTTTTACCCACTGAAGCCAATTCTGTTAGACTTGGAGAAGAGGAAAAAAGGGAAGGAAAAGTGGCTGCTTCTCTAAGTACCCTGAGTAAAAAATTATGTTTGGTTGGGTTTTTTTACAGTCCATAAAACACCCCTCAATTTGTGAAATGTTAAATAGCAAGCAATGAACTGGCTTTTGGAATTGTCTAAAGCATATGGGAGCATTAGGAATTACATACTTCTGTAGGTTATCTGGAGTGCACACTTCTTCATCATATAATCCTTCAGGATCCAACAAGGTACCTGTGAACAGAAAGGGAGATGTGACTGTCCCAGCATACTTCCTGTGACTCGCCTCTCAGGAGGCTTCCGGGGGCACAGGGTGTGTGAGGACAGCATCCATGTGGGGGAGAGGGGACCACTCTGACAGAGCACTTTGTGTTCACTTCTCCTCTACCCACACCTCCCCACTGCCTGCCACCTTTCAAACCGTTGCTTCTGCCCTTCCAGTCTCTCAGCCACAGTATCTCCGATTTTTGTGCGTTTCTGCTACAACAGAGTAATACCACACTATTAAACAGTTCCACATTCTTACCTTTAGTATCTTCACAGTTATAATTGCTCCTCTAGAGAAAGTCTAATTCCTAATCTAAAACTTCACCAAGTTCAGCTGAGTTTGTTTCACCAGGTAGGAATATCTTAGGGTTCCATGAAATCTTTTGTAAGATGAAACCTACAAGTTTGTAGTGTTGTTGAATTGCTTTGTTACATCCTCACTTACAGTATTTATACAACACCATATGGTACATTCTAATCGCAAGCTGCAGGCTTTCACTGCATGCAGAAAGTACAGAAACAGTAATTTGGCTTCCTGGTCCAAAGTAATCTAGAGTTTACTTTAAAAGTAGAATAGGTGTGGGAAGGCATTCAAGTAGCTTGATGCATAGGTTCTGGAACATGGACTGAAGTTTGAGCTCTCTGATTCTTAATTATAATTCAACAAGATCCTGTTAAGGTTTATAAAATGCACATTACAGAAGTATGCCTTGTAAATATTTGGTCTCCACCAAATTCTTAGTGCTAATTAGCTGAACTACCTGCTGCTTTACAGATGTCCTGTGAGTGACAGACAAGTAAATGTTCATACACCGACAACTGGAGGTGGTCTTACCGATTGCCCATGGTTTATCCTCCCCAGGACCAATTCGACACGGGTCTTTGTAGTGTGTAAACAGAGAATGCTGTTGCTCCAGCTTGTCCTCTGCAGAGAAAGAGCAAGCCCAAGAAAAGGCACATCAGCTACGTGTTGTGAATCTGTGGACAACTGTGTGTTCTGCCACAACAGAAAAGGCAAGTCCTCCTTCCTACTTGGTACACGTACACAGGGTGGATTGGAACCAGTTGAGTAGTAGCTTTACTGCACAGCAATACCTTGTCTTCATTAGAAATTCCAACAAACACTTGCTAATAACAGTGCTTCCCTGCAAAATCTTTCTATGAAAGATGTTTTTTAGTAGTTTCTAGCTGTAAACTGAAGTGAAGGTTTTCCAACATACTTCCTTACCCTGCCATTGTCATTACATTGCTTACAACACTACAAAATTTGAGATAGATCACACAATGGAGAATTGCACTGACTTCACAATGTAAAAGGCTTTTTGTGGGTGTATATATATATATATATACACACATCTCGGTAAGTCTGAAAAGAAAAGCTTGTGCTTTACATACTTCAGAGGAATTCAGTGAATGTTTTCCATAATAGATAAGAGAAAGGACAGGCAATTGATAATTTGCTTGGGACATTATCTAAAGCATTAAAGCCATTCTAAACATAATCAGCATGACCTATCTGAGATAGATTAAAATTTTGTTGTGATTAATTTGCAACTGTGGCACTGATAGTGACAAGTCACAGCTGATGAGACGAACTTAACCCATCTGACTGGAAGGCTTTTTGCATTATGCTAGGTTTAAAAACATAATGGACTTTTACACCAGTCAGTCCAAAGCAACCTGACAGTAACTAACTTTCTAATAATGTTCCCACCAAGTGTGAATTCACTGTATGAATGTTGTCATAATGTTCTGTAAAGCTGGAGGGGAAAACTGAGTTGCAGAAAATTTGTCATAAGCATAAGGTCGCTCATGGACCTGGAGATCTTTGAAAACTACTGTCAATACATCTAAGAATAGAAGCTTGATATTCACCGAAACATTAATTACTTGCTGTATCAGTCTGTGGAGTGGGAAAGAATACAGAAAATCATATACAAAATTACAGGAAGCTGATTATTGTTTAAAAAAAAATAATTTCAAGATGTTCAGTTCTCTGCAATGCCAACAAATATCCCTAAAACAATGAGTAATGTAAAAATGGAGGAGAAAACTTTAAACATTGCATTAATCTTGCTTAGTGCATAAGGAAAAAAAGCAATCTAAAAATAAAAAATGAAATAGCTTAATTTCAGTTTCCGGGCTTGAGTGAATTTTAAAGGGGAGGGGGACGTAAATAAGCTACAGAGATAGCAAAAAATGTTTTTTTATAACCTACTTTTCAGTCTTCTTTAGCAGTGGCTGCAATGCAGCCATTACAAATTTCGGGGTTTTTTACTTTTTCTTTAAAAATATGGGTCACAATAGCATTAATTATACTCTGTACTTGTGCAAGATCTTGGTTAGCGTGCCAAAACTTCTCAGGTAGAGTATACTGACCATATGTTCTGCCTCACAGCTTCATTCCCCTCTCTCTTGCTCATGCTGCACAGCCCCACTTGTTTTCCATTTGCTATCTGACTGGGCAGTCACCTCTTTGGTATGCAGCAGATTGTTTATTTCCTCGATGGACATCTTTGCCTCCAGGCCACTCCATCCATCTAATAATACTGCCAGTGAAACAGGCAAATCCCAGCAGATGTGTCCATTTCTATCCCCCAGCTTCTGTCTCCCTTTATCAGGACTGCCGCAACTGCCTCCGCAGCCTGTCTGTGTAGCAGCTTGGCTAGCTGAAGACCTGTTTTTGACCACATTTCTTCCTTCCTTCCTTCCTTCCTTCCTTCCTTCCTTCCTTCCTTCCTTCCTTCCTTCCTTCCTTCCTTCCCTAGAAATGCACTACCACTGCTACTGTTACATTTTATCCTAATACCTGTTTGTTCAACTACAGTATTCTGTAGCCATTACCACTTACTGTTCACCTCCACAGTGCATAATGGATTCATCTACCAGTCAGAGCACTTGCCAGCACCTTCTCTGACAATTCTGAGTTTACTTAGGATCATAGAGTTGCGAGTGGTTTATTTTTTGTATATACAAGCTAGAAACAAACAACAGAAGGACTGTGTTTTGGGTTGATGGTCTTCTTCTACCCAATTAGATGTTTCTCCATCTTTGCTAAAATCTTCCATTATAAGTGTCTGATGCAAGTCCTGAGATTAGAGAGTACCAGTTATTTTTGAGATCAGACAATGCTTGCTTTTTCTTTCTTAAAATGATTTTTGGTAGAGTTGTTGTGCTCAACCTCAGTTATTCAGGCTGGTTATGAGGACTACAGAATTCACACTAGATGGTGTTCACAAATTCACCTGTTAATCCACAAATCTCTAATTTGAATTGCTGAATCCCACTTTGAATGCTGCAGCCTGATCTCACCTGCACCCTGTCCATCTCCCTGGTAACGCAGCACAGACTAAATCCTTCTGGTGACCCCCCTCACTGTACCTGCCTTGGGTTCTTTCTACCTCAGCACTTCAGTTTTGGCCCAGTCGCACAAAAGGCCTTTCAGCCGTCAGCCTTGCGGCAAGCTGGCCACTGGGCACCGCTGGTCCATGTGCCAGCTCCAAGCCAGCAGAGTTGATTGCCATCACATAAAGGCAGCAAGGAGCTCAGCTGGGTGCCCGAGCTGTACTAAGCAGGAAGGCAGAGAGCATACACAAACAGTGCTCTGCACTCTATGTTGGCAATTTAACTGTTAACAGACCATAATATTTATGTTTGGAAAAAGCTACCATCTTTCTGAACTCGCCACCCGTTAATCCTGGTTTTGTGGCGTTCTTTTTCTAGTACCCTTAGCATCCAAAAATAGACAAAAAATATTTAAAAATTATTAAAATAAAAAACCCCAGAACTACACAGCATCAGTTATTTTTTTCCAAGACTGATTCAGCAATGTTTAGTTCTCTCTGCAGGATTAATCTCCTGTGCCTGTGTATATGCACTATCAAATTATTTTTAACTGCGTGAATTTACTACTTTTTCTCCACAAAAATCCCATTACATACGTGTCATTCATTAGGAACTAAAATTCTAGGACAGTAGGCAACTACCTAATTCAAGTAAAGCTAAACCACTAGATCTGCCCTTGTTATTGCTACTGCAAGTCACAAATTATTGCCCTTTCTGCTTTAGAACACATCATGCTTAATAACTCGGCAGAGCTTGTAATTGTGAGCTGCTCTCCTTGGCTCATCTCAAGGTTAGTACTTTTTTTAGAAGTATCTGTAGCAATTAAGTCTTTCCTTGCAAAAGCCAGTCACAACTTAGTATACTGCTGTAACACGCAGGAATCAAGAACTTTCCTATTCCTTTGTGGACTAGGTAGACACCAGGAGAAGGAAACCCTTGTCTTACCAGAGGAGCAGTTATCGAAGTTGAGATCTCCACAGATTACATCAAAAGCCACCAGCTCCTCTGGATTGGCTGTACTGGAGGAGGAGGTAGATTTTCTGAATTCAGACAGCCAATCTTGAAGCATATCCAGTTGCTCACATCGAACAGTAGTATCTCCTGTAGCAAACAAACAACAAATAACCAAACCGAGAAATAAGACCTCCTTTTAGCATGTTATGCAACCACGTTAGTTGCTAAGCTACTGCTGGACATCTTGAGAAAAAGGGTGCAAGATTAAAAAATGGTGTGGCTAATAGTACACGCAGTACATAGTGCTTAGCCCATTATGAAGTTCATTAGGAACCATGCTTTTTGATGATTTAAATATCTCCTTCTGGAATCAATCACACGAGGCATGTCTGAAGAAATAAGAAGACAAGGTGCATCTGTGCTGTAGACAACCAGCCAGAATGATGTTTCTAGCCACAGGAGGAGGATGATCTGATGTGCTACATTCATAATCAGGAGTTCAGAGTTAAAATCCTCCTTCAGACAGTGTGTTCTGGGGTAAACCGCTTTGCTTTGCTTTGCTTTCTAATTTTTAAAAATGAAAAATTCAACTTTAGTAAATATACATCAGTGGTAAATTCAACTCAGTCATACTGTAGCAGTCCATCCGAGGAAGGGTTCTATTTGTGTTCAAGTGAGAATACCTAAACTGGAAGCATTTTTTCATATTTTTAAAGGTACGTGTAGCTACAGGTTTGGGCAAGCAGTACTGCAGAAATAAAGAACTGGATCCTTTTCATCAGTTGCAGGGAAGTTACACTAGGCTACATGTGCTGAGGATGTGCCCCCATTTTATAGGATTGATATAAAAGGGTTGCGATTGATTGGTTGGCAAATATTTTTTGTTTGTGACACACAAAGCACCTCTTTAATTATAGCAACTAACCACACAATTTCAAGCACATCAGGTGCATGAAGTCTATGAAAAAAATAATTACTGGCTCTCTTGAAAGGATTACAGCAAAAGCTTGATGTGGGGAAAGGAGCAGGAAGAGACAGATTCTAGACATAATTGTTTAGCATATTGTCTTTCCTTTCTTTTTCTTTTGTTTTCACTACCTATAGTTAACAGTTATTTCAAATCTGAAACAAGCGAAATTATAATATGTCAAGTCAGAACATTACTTTTCTTCAAAATAGAAGATTTGTTTTCAAATGCCGCAATCAAACGGAAAAGCAGCAAACCCAAAATGACAGTCTGACTACAATTTTATTTTAACCTAATTTAATACTTTGTGCTAGCTATTAAAAAGGTGTACAACACAATCAGAAACCTCAGTTATGTGTATGTTCAAAGCTGCTGTCAGTGGCCACTATGGAGATGGTGAATATTTAAGTCTGTGTCCTCACAGCATGTTACTCACTCATCTCAACTGCAGCTGTCACCAGCATGCTTTACAAAAGACTGAAAATGTGAACTCTGCAGCACACTGTCACTGCGTTAGCATACAGACAAACTTTAGGCCTCGAGACTTCACTTTCCTACCACTATTAACCTGTGAAGGGTTGGATTTTCAAGAACATCAAGGAGGGTGGTATGGTAGAAAAACAATTAAATACAAACTGAATCAGAAATGTTCAACCAGGCATGATTTGATACGATCCTAAATAATTAAATATTAAAAAGAACATGACCAGGGAAAGCGAGAGCGAGCTTTAAGTAGGTTCTGATGCTGACTCATCTCTTCAGACTGGTAATTCCAACAGCAAATAGTCTGATTTTTTTCTTCCACTCATGTTATTTCCAACAAATCTTTACCAGTTGGGCTGTAATATAAAAGCAGGTACAAGTACTTCCTGCATCTATTCCCTGACCTACAGCTTCTAGTTACTTGTACCTCAAGTTCACATAGTACCCTCATCACACGACTGGATGCAAATCCAGACCACTGTATTCTTGGGAAAACCTCTTGCTACAACAGCACAAGAAAGCCCTACAGTGAAGACGTAGCTAGACAAAAGCACAAGAAATAGGTCACGTGGAATAAACACAGCCTGGAGCAGGTGACACTAACACAAAAGGTGTGCGTGACTAACATATGCATTCTGCTTAACTAAAGATACAGATGAAATTACAGTTTCACAGAAAGCATGAGCTTGAAAGGGAGTCTGGGGATCATCTAGTCCAACCCCCCTGCTCAAGCACTGTCACACCTACAGCAGGGTGCTCAGAACCATGTCCAGTCAGGCTTTGACTATCTCCAGGGTTGGAGACTCCATAACCTCTGGGTAACCTGTTCCAGTGCTTAAGTCACCCTTGCAATAAAGTATTTTCATTTGTTTAAATGGCATTTCTTGCATTTCAGTTTGCCTCTTGCCCTGTCACTGGGCTCCACTGAGGCGAGTCTGACCCCATCAGGGATTTACTCACTTCCCTTTCTTCTGGCCTTTGTTTCCTCCTCACATAATTTTTAAGCATGGTGTTTGTGGATAAGAACGTGGTAACATCTTGCTCCTCACAAAGTCCTGATTAAATAGCTTAACTGTCTGCCACCAGCTTTTACATCCCTGAACTGTCAGGGGTTTTTTTTGTGTTTTCTGTGAATTATCCATCTAGCATGGCTTCACTAGGATGAGTGGTAAAATAATGCAGCTATTGCCATACAGGCATAAAACTCAGGCAGCAACCTGTCACAGGCCAGCGTGAAGAATGTAGCAAACCCACTTAACTGAAATGTGCAAAGGCAAAATTCTCCAAAACAGAAAACTCTTGAGAAAAATAAAAGACAGGCAAAAATATTTTAGGAGGATATTGTGAAAGGTGTCTGGTAACATGCATTGCTATTTTTAAAAAAGCATTAACTACATAGTGACATACATCTCCCTTGGTAAGAATGCTGAGCCTTTGTAGCAGCACTACACACCAGATCACCTCAGGGCTCTACAGAAAAATAGCCTTGGAAGTCTAGAAACAGGTGACTTTCATTTCTTAGTAGAAAAAATGTGTAACTTGTGATAGTGTGGCATCTCTGATTATCCCCACTAGAGGTCATGGAAGTAATTGCACTTTAGTACACTACCTGGAGCTGAGCAATGAAGTGAGCTACATTTCCATGACAAAAGATGGAATCCTCTAATGCGACTTGAATATAACTGTTTTCAGAGATTAATATTAAACTAACGGTATCCAGCTTACGGCTGCTACGCAGCAGGTACTGCATGTATCTGTATGCAAAAGTGACTAAAGAGACTCAGTCTGACCAGCTCCCAATGATCAATAGCTTTGGAGATGAAGAGCGAAGATAACTGAAGTATTCAGACACCTGAGTAGAGGAGAAGCCGAACCTGCATCCAGCACAATCAGGGGAGCAGACATTGCTGAAACTGCTGCTGAAGTGAAATAGCATCAGTAAATATTAACAGAAGTGAGCTAGGTAGTAACTCCCAACACTAACATTCAACAACTTCTTCCAGCCTTCAGCTCTAATTAAATGTTCAGATGGAATCACTGATCTGATTGACTGCCACCAGCGATTAACCAGAGAATAGAGATTTGTACTAATAGCTCTACACTCTTTTCCTCAGTAACTGGCCTGGAAAAATGCAAATAATTGTGTTGTGACTGGTTCCTGCCGTCAGCTTTTCCAACTTCTTTGCAAGTTCCCTTCAGCTTCAAATTTTGTGGAAGGATCAAAGGGTAGTGTGGGAAATCTCAGCCAGCATAAATAAATACTTCACCTTTGTTCATTATAGGATGATCATACTTGCACTTTCCATTCACTTTGGAAACGCTTAAGTGAAATCCTGGCTTCAGTTAGGTACTATACACTGAGGAAGACTGCTTTGTTTTACTCTGAAAGATGCTAGAAGGAGCACTGTTGTGGGTCAACAAAGCAGCTGACAGGCCTAGTCAATTTCCTAGAGGAAATTAAAAGATCCAGTGGAGGTTTTTAAAACCAGCACTGCTAAGCACTGTGGGATATATTGGCAGGGAATCTGGGGAAGATGAGCAAAAGCCTAATCGAAATGAAAAGATGTTTCCAAGTCACAACCAAAGACTTCAGTTTAGCCACAAGACAGGCTGTGTCACACCTGACTGTGTGACAGATTAAGCAGACCCCTACATTTATAACACAATCCAGGATAGGCTGGGAAAACAAAGTAAAACCAAATCTCTCAAAAAACCAATACAACAAAAATCCCCGTGTATTCTCCTGGGTTACTTTTCAGCCAGGTCAGGTCCCCACATAAGTGCAACACAGAGCTGTGTTGGCACACCTGAGAGGAGGCAGGGGGAAGGGAAGGCTGCCACGCTGTGGATACGCCAGCTTTGCTATTTCAGAAACCTGTGTGGAATCACTGCCTCAGGATGCTTCGCACTGATGTTATTACTGATTGCAGAGTCAGAGTTTCAGACACTGAGGGATGTCTCTCAGTCCTGAGGCAAGTTCTGCTTAAGCTGTGTGTAGGCTTGGGGACCCTAAAACTGGTGCTAGAGAAGCGTGAGTTGCCAGTACCTCTACTGGTAATGACTAGATTCACACTAAATGGCAAACAGGGATGCTGACGGGGTTATGAGATAGCATTCAGCACGCTACATCATCTGGACCTGGGCTGGAATAGCTTGAGGCTTACTATGTTTTGATGGCTTGGCCGGGTGTCTGAAAGGCGTGACTCAAAGGGACTTGGAAGGTGGGTGGATTCTAGGCAGCAAAACCTGTGCAGAATATTAATCACTGACTAATTGAAAGATATAAAAGAAGCATGTAAACTTAACAGCCCCTTGGAAAATAATACATTCAAGTCTCATTAAAGGATCCCTTCATTTGTCACTGAAATGCAGCTATTTCCACAGTGGGAATGAAGAGCTGCTTCATAGCACCATTCAGTAATAGGTAGAGAACTGAGAAGATAAGCTACATCTAATTCTAAAGTTTTATTGGAAGAGGTGACTGTCAGGTCTGAAAAAACAGTAATTGCTCAGAACAGAGTTGAGCCAGCCCATTTCTTGAAAAAAGCATTAGTAGTTTGTCCCTGACCGTAAGCAGTTGGATCCCTTAATTTTATACTCTTGTCAGTATCAGGACTGTTAAATGTAACTTTACGTATCCTCGAAGGGAAGCCAAATTGCACTCAGCCATGTATGACAAGATGATTTAAATGGCTAACCTTTTAAACAGTGCTTGTTTTTATAGATACCACATCTTTACATCGTTGAAGTAGTTTTTGGATAATTTTTTTAATGTGTGAAATGTTATGAATCAGATGATACAAATCAGAAAGCACAGCTCTGCCAAACTAAGAAACTTTCGTTTTCCATTGCATTACATAAACTAATATGATATATCAAAGGACAGTTAGACTCTTAAATCATCGACTGCTCTATTTGAATGTAGTTTGAACCAGATAAGCCTAAAAATATGATGCAAGAACGTAAGTAGGAAAATGAAAGGTTGTGTTTTACCCTTGAAGGAGCTTTAGGCTGACTTTGAAAATAGAATATTATTTCCCCATTCTTCTTCCCTTCCCCCTCTTCCTCTTTAATATTTTAGGGATTTCACAATGTGGTTATCAAAGACCAACTGAGAATACATGCCTAGGTAGTAAAAAGGAACAGGACTAAAAATGGAGGTTTAGAACCTAAACTAGAAGAGCAGCAAATCTCAGCTCCACAACAGCAATCTCACAGCACATTACCATGATTCCAGAATTAAAAATAGAAAACCAGAGAAGGAGGTTACATTGTTAAAATGTATCTGAAAAATTCATGAATCTTCTTTAGAACTATCCAGCCTCTTTAATATACTTCAGGGACTGGCAGTTTTGTTCCCAAGTCTGTCTCTCTGCAACTGCAGCACTGACAAAGTGGAATGAACGCCAGCTGCCTCACTGGGTTAACCTACACATGCTGTAGCGCACAGGTTCAAAGTTCTGCCATTTGTAATACATTACTGTCTCACCTCTGCAGCGTACATGCTCTCTTCAGGCAGGCTAGGAGGGCTATGGGTGCTCTCCAGCTCTCGGGGGCACAAGCTGCATCAAGTAAAACTAAGGAAGGATATCCGCCCCTCTGACTAAATGAAATTCTGATCTTACACAAAGTAAAGGTTTGTAGATTTGGCTTTTATTATATCACTACACCTACTGTAAGTATAGAACTGATAGTTTTGATGCAAAAGATAGGAGAGATTCATAGAAAATTTTCCACAGACATCTGCAAGAATTTCAAGTATTTGTCAATTTTAATTGGTGAGTGTTCAGGCAAACAGCTAAAATGGAGAAGCATCTTGATTCCAAAATGTATGCGTCAGAACACTTAAAGGGGAATAAACCCACCTGAAGTTACTAACTTTTCTTTCCCTTGCTTTCTGTACTTGGGTTGTAACATGGAGATAAGGTCACCCATCTACCTCAGTCTTGTTCTGAATATTAATATTAAAAGGAGAGCTAAGTGTTGAGATACTGTCATTAAAAAAAAATAATCATAAAAGGTCATAAGTTGGTTGAGGAGGAACAGGCTCCACCACAGCCTGACAGCGCTACATGAAATTGCAGTCTGCTTATGGGAAGCAGTGGAGTCCACACCTCTCACGGACACAGAAATCTGCTATTAAAGAACATCTCATTCTTTTTTAAGATAATTCAGTGAAAACTCAAAAAAAAAAAAAAACCTTCCACACCCTGCTAAGAGTTTTTGCATTTGATTTATTGTTAACAACCTTAGAAAACACTGTTTCATGAAACAAAGGGCACAGAGCATGCTGTGCCATGCTGTAGCAAATGTAGCACTGGAACTGCTTTTAAACATGGCCAAGAGAATTTTTCAATGAATGTATTAACTTTCTAGCCATTTATGTATGAAATTTGCAGGTCAAAATGCAGATATTTTGGACTTACTGCACCTGCTGATTTCTGATGGAAAAACTGTCCCAACTTGTTTTTTCTGGTAATACCCTAGTTACGTACAAAGAATTTTTAGCTTATATGCTGATATTTACGGTATGGGTTGTTAACTGCTGTTGAGTAATGATGATAGTAATGTATTTGCTAAAATAACAGTATTTAGTTAAGAGGGAGCAAAGAGAAGAAAAGCTCTCAAGGGATATTTTTTGTCTGTGTCCTATAACACTTAATTACTCTGAGACTGAAAATGTCAAGGTTTGGGGATATGCTTGTCTACCTTTCTTTCTTCGCTATTTCACTGCTATTTGCAGTGCATACTGCACTTTGTCAGAAATACCAGAGGAGCAGTGCTTGCTACTTCTGCACAAGAATACCACCACAAGCCTCAAAATAGTGAAAATTAGGACAGTACCTGCAATAGCTTGCAAGTGAGTGCAGGAAATGTATCCCACAATTCTTTGGTCCTGAGGTGTACTTCCCACTTGCACCTGGAAGGGAAGGAAGAAATAAAAAGATGATTAATGGAAGAGCTCATAACTCCACTTCCAAACCCGGCTGTGCAGCCTTTGTACATGGTATTGGCCTTTTTCACCACTCTTTCCATCTAGCTCCATTTTTAAAACACGCACCCACATACAAAAACCACAAGAGACACACTGAGGCTTACTGGGGTCCCGCTCGCTGCTAGCACACTGACTCCTTCCTGATTACCACTACTTCAGTGTTTCAATTTTGATCTGCAACACACGCAAAAATTTGAATTTGTCCTGCTCTTTGCAGTCCCACTGGTTCCCTGTCCCAGCTGTGTTGCCACCTTTTTGCATCCCAGCTCTTGTTGCTAGGCAAAATTGAGGCCCACCACTGAAGTGCCATATAATACTCTCAGCAGTCTCATGCTTGCTGTCTGTGTAAGACGAGAATGCAGAAGGAAAAAATGCCAGAGGAGTCTGGGGGAAAGGATGAAACGTGAAATAAATACTGGTTTTGACCATGTTTTCTCCGTTCCACAGCAAGTTTTGGATTTTGATGGATTTCTTACATTCTTCTACAAAGGTGCTGAGGATTTTTGCTATGTCTCAGCAAAGCGTTTACATTCTTCAGCTCACAGCAGCAGCCCCCATGTCTGTCAACCAGATGAAAACACAACGTGCGCCCCTGCTCTTACACATAGAAGAGGTAGGGCTTCCAGGGAAGCTGGAACGTAGTGTAATTCCTCATCTATATCATACATGATGATCTTTTAAAAATATATTTGCTGGTGGACACACAACCAAATTAAAATCAAGTTCTGGTTTAGGTTTTCAACTCTACTGAAGGTTTTGGGAGTTCAGGACTTACACAGCTGCAAATCGAAATTCCCAGTGACATGAGGATCAAGATTTGGATTGAGGCAAGAAACCAGTTTGAGCACGTGGTTTTCCTATTGACAGTCAATGTGGCAACATTGCATGGAATACTAAAGAAAATGCCCACAGAGGAAAGTTGTACCCAGGGCTCAGAAACCAAACCCACAGATGACTGCTTCGTAAGGCTAGACTCGGATTTCATCTGACACCTCTAAATAACAAGCAGAGCTCCATTTCATACAGACACAATTTTGTCAGCTTGGTTGGTTTTCTTGTTCTTCAGCTATCCAAGAACCATCTGATTCATTTTATAACTGGAAAGTCAGCTTTTCAGTAAGTGAATTTAGAAGTCATTTGTACCCAACAATGCCTTGTTAACTTTCAGTTTTTGTTCCAGCTAGAAGAGTACGTAATAAACAACTGGCATTATTCTGTCCTCAGTCTGTTCAGTCCTCCATTAAGCTTTCCAAACGGATATTGATGGTGTTCTTACTGCTATTGCCATACAGTTAACCTGCTTCAGGGAAGGTGAAGGCAGAGGAAGACAAGGCAAATACACGCAATCACTGGTGGATCTATCCCTAAGCCAGAGGCTTCTCCTAAACTCACAAGATTGTAGCAGGGTCTCAAAGGATACGCTGGTCTGCAGGAAGGTTGTCAGTGACTACTGCAGAAGCTTCGCTATGCAGACCTCTCTCCTCCCACAGGTTGCCTTGGTCTGAACAGATCACAGTGTCACACGTGAATTAAAAGGAGCATTCTAATTTTTTCTGCAACATCTGCCATTCCAATAGAAGACTGGGAAACCATTAGTTTATATCCTCTGCTATCTAGGGCAGGCCGGTGTATGAATTATATTTCCCAAACTTAATAACTCAAAACCAGATTTTCTCCTCAACACTGAAAAGTATATATTGTAAAGTCTCTACTAGTTTACAAATTTGGAGTCTCTCCTGCTGCAGAGAAAAAGAGTGCATGTCGTACATCTTTCAATGCCATCTACTGTAACCACAACGAAAACAAAATACTGCACGTAAGGTTTTCTGCCTTACAGCAAGAATGTGCTGCTTATAATCCTCTTATTGACTAAAGCAGATGGAATAATTTTCAGTGTCTCTATCCAAAAAGCATAAAAGATTTAAGTCTAAAAGCTGAACACCCAAACATAAGTTATAGCCAGTTGAGAAAAAGAAGTCAACTGAAATTGGCTTTAGAATTTCCTGTGCAGCCTTAATGGAGTGCCTGACAAGGCCTCGTACTCATCAACCAATTTATGCACAGGATCACAGTCATTTCCATTAGTCATAAATAAATACTTATCATATGGTGTCCCTGTGTGCACAGATCTATACTGAAATGGACTTGGGATCTTTCGCTCTCAAAGAATGACAAGCCACAGCCTAGAAGAAAGACTGACTGCTGCTAAAGGCAGGTGGGTGAGCGCAGCCCTCAGGGATGCCACCCCACGGGGACAGCGCCCCAGCGCTCTGCCCTTGCTAGGAACAGGGGCTGCTCTGCACACACCCCTGAGGGGAAAAGGAAAGGGGCTTTCGTAAATGCTCTGCTAATTTTAAAAAAGCTCAAAAGCAAGAGCCGAAGACATGAACATAATAAAAATTTCTTTGGAAAGTGCCAGCATGGAACTACATCCAAAGCAGCTCATCTCCCAGAGTTCACATTTCCTCCAACTTTTTTGACTTTTGGGTTTTTTGTTTGGTTTTTTTTTGAAGTGGCAGTATTGATGTAAACCGCCACCAAGTAGAGTCACTTTGAGTATAATCATAACGGAGGTAAACATTTGTGACAACTACTAGAAAAGAAAATAAATATCCTTGCAGCTTCCTAGTCAATTCCCTGAAACATCAGAAGCACTAGTATATTAAATATGGTCTGAAAGAAAATAGTAAGGAAAATCTGATTATTCAGTCTAATTTGGTATTTGACAGATGGACAAGGACTATGGGATGTACAGACAGGAAAACTACTTGACCTCTGGAATATTACCAGCCTTGTAATTCTGCATAAAAACATTCATTTGTGTGGCCAAATGCCGTAGCTACTTTTAGACTGTTCCATTTTCAATGGTATATTATTATATTGTGGTGACTCGGGCTGAGCAGCTACGTGGCAGTCCTGCAGGAAGGCAACATGGAGCGTTCATTTCAGCCTGCAACGTGGATCTTGGCAGAAAGGTTCCACTTCCACCAAACCAAGTCAGCACTTCACAAATATAACATAATTTTTGCTGCTTAATACAGAATAATCTTCTAAATTCACATTTACAAAAAAATATATGTAAGCAAATAAGCAGAGTGGGTCCTTCACCATAACCCCGACTTACATTTACCTCAACTGTTCTATATTAGTAGCTCTGTATCAATAACACACTCATTGAATTACCCTTCTATAGGGAACTACTTCAGATACTGCTTTCTAAAAATCATTGTATAGTCTTCGTTGTGTCATGGACCACTCTTCTATTTCTATGGAAATCTACAGAAGGTAATACCTAAATATACTTATAAGATCCCAATGTTTTAAAATAGGATAATTATTACAAGAGGAAAAAGTTTATGTGATACCCTGTTAAACTCTGATATTACATAGAGATATCTGTGGTTTAAGAAAGTGTCCCAATTATATAATTTTGTCAGAAAAAGAGTATATTTTTCAATATTACGCTGAAATATGCAAAATATATTCCAATTCTCAGTACACCTGCAAAGGTTAAGTAATCAAACTAGTCAAACCTTTGGAAGTTAGGAGCAGTTTCTGATCCTGTTACACCACTGAGCATTACATTTTGTTAGCTGTTGGGGGGGAGGGGGAGCATAAAAAGCTCATTACAGATGAGAAAGATAAGAAAGATGAGAAAGAGGCTTTTTTTCCATAGAGGAGAAGGCCTACCAAGGTTGTGTTTGGAATTCAAAATGCCAGCCTCTACTGCTCCATATTTACATTTGTCCCCTGCCTGTAAATTAAATCCGTAAGTACAAAACTGACAGCTCTGAATTTTTATTTTCAGTCAGAGTACTGACTTGTGTCAAGTACACAAAAGTACTTGACATCAAGTACTTTTTATTGAAAGATTTCATCTCTATGCCATAGCGCATTAGTACAATTTGCTGGAGAGACCACGCTGATACTGTGCTGTGCTATGCAAAACTGTGTATATTCCCATAATTGTGTATCAAAAACTTGTCCTATATGGACTGAGGAGTAGTATGTTCTCCAGTTAGACTGGTATCAGGTAATAAACAGTGCTCATGAAAGAAATCAAGCTAACAAGGCTACAGCAGAAAGATTCTTGTTGACAAGGAAAAAACCATAATGAGTAGCAATAGTTGAAAATTTAGAGCTAGAGTGAAGGAAATAACTTCAAATTCAATCACATTACTTGCTATCACGGGAATTTTCTGAGATAACTGGAAAATCTTGTACATATCATGTTTACCATACTCCAGTATAATAAGTATACAAAGCTGCAAACATGTCAAATATCTTGTCTTTAACAGATTATATTTACACACGTCTGTCTCAGCAGTGCAAAACAGTTCTGTTACATCTGGATGTCAAGAAAAGCATCAACAGATACTTAAACAAAAAAACAGGGAAATGCTACCTAAATACCAGGGAGATTTCAATACCAGCTTAAAAAACAGCTTCAAACATGTCATCTCTGTGTTAATAAATCATCAGCTACTTGGAAGGAAATGTTCTTTAATGCTTAAAAATTTCAGTGCTTTAATGCTTAAAAATTACATGAGAAATCTGACTCGATTAAAGAATCATACTAGGTTCTCACACACTGACCAATAATGTGTAGACAAAAACAAAAGGTTTGTTAAGAGGGGAACTTAACCTTTAGTGACATTTTCTAGAAGCTTCACATTGCCAGGAGGTAGCCATTAAAAAATTTCTAAATAAATAGACAGGTTCTTAAATGCATACCCTCCAATAGGAAGGGTTTGTGTCCATGCATGTCCAAGCATATGCAATTACCTCTTCCTTCATGGGAAGCAAATCCAGGTGTGCAAACCAGAAGAGAGCTCAAATTTTGGCATACTTCTGGGAAAAGAGCTCCACAGATTCATTTCATCACCTTAGTTGACCGTGAAGGTGTCAATTTTGCTGTTGGAATA